ACTGCTGATGGTCGCTGCAGCTTGGAATGACTGCGGGGAGGCTATCCCGTCGTGTGTTCTGACTGCTCTCTGGTGGCCCACGTGCCCGCCGTCTCCCCTTCTCCTTCATGATAACAACATCAGTCCGCTCTACCCAATCTCCCCACCGTTGTCTCCTCCGGCACCTAGCCACTGCTGCTGCCTGTGCTGTGGGAGGGGGGGGGTTGTATTTTGTCCCACGGCCTTCATTTGCACTGGCTTTCCTCCGCCGCGTGTGTGTCGTCGGACGATGACACACTCCATGCCGTCATGGCTTGTCGCCATCTTGATAATGATGACCATGCGACGCTTCTTCCCTGGAACCCAAGCTCTTCCTCATTGTGCCCTACATCAGGATTGTCATGCGTATCCGAATGGAACTGACGGCCTTGACTTCGGTCTTACGTCCCAGTTACCCCGAACTACCCTGCCAGCAGCACCCGCTTCCCCAAGCGTGGGAATTTCCATCACCATATCAATACCCCTGCCCATCCGGCCCTCTACGACTACGAGCCAGCCGCCGCCATCCTCGATTACAAGCTCTGCAGCATCAAGCAACCCTGCGCCAACCGCGCCCTCGTCTAGCTCTTCCTCTTCCTCGACATCAACGCTTGTACCCAGGCCTAAGCCGCCCTCAATGAATGGCCAAAATGCGTTCGAGCCCGTAGGCACGGGACCACCCCCGGCAAATATCCCTTCAAGAGGCGATCATCCAGTCAAGCCAGATCATATCGTACGTAAAAATTTATTTGTCTTTTCAAACCCGGACTCTAATTCTGACCCTCATTTGCAGGTTGGTTCCACAGGCCCTATACCTACAAACAAATTTTTTGCCAACTTCTACCTTGGCTCCCAGACTGGACCTTCATTCACCCATCCGTACGGAGTCGCATGGGCTAAGGGCAAGGGTCCTGTAACGAGTTATGGCCTCATGGTTTCCCATATAGAACTCAATCAGCTGGCATTTGGTCCCATGAGCCAGTCAATCCCCGGCAACCCCGTCCAGTTTTATATCAACCCCATTGGCATTCAATCGATGATTCTCTCTGCAGCTGAACTTGGGCCGTCTTCTGTCTTGGTTGTTTCGAAGCCCTCCGCGTTTTCGGCAACTATTCTTCTCTCCCCGGATCCTGGCTCGACTTCTCATATCGCTTTTCCTTTGGTTCAAGGCATGGGGTTTGTGACCGCTGTCTACACAAAATTACAACCCACGATTCAGAGTGGCGTTTTCTTCAGGCAATTCGAACGACTGGGCTCTCCCAAACCAGGCTTATTCAAATATATGGTCATGTTGGAGGATGGCACAGTGTGGTTGATATACGTCACGTCCGCCGACAGTGCTGATCCGCAATTGAGGTTGGAAGATCATAGTCTCATCCGTGGTATCAGTGAGTTCAGCGGTACGATCCAGATCTGCAAAAACCCTTTCGGCGGAGAAGGGGAGGGGATATACGACAGGTCAGCTGGCGTATATGCGGTGGAAGTCCAACTCGCGGGCTTTGTTGCCGCTGACCAGCAGACCGGTACGTACAGTTTCTCCTGGGATAAACAAGGGTTATATGTTTCCACAACCCCCTTGTTAATGTTCGCATTGCCCCACCACTGTGATTCCTTTGACGAAAACACCAAATCCAGGATGACAGGTCTACATCTACGAACCACGACCAAGGGAATGGCTACCGGTATTGTAGGGGATTCATGGACAATGGTCGAAACCAACCTTCCTATAAGTCTGGGAATTGCTCCCTGGAACGCGCAATCGAAAACGAGCCCGCCCTTATCAGAACCTGTCAAAGAAAAGTTGAAAATGGTAGCTCCATTGGAGCTCAACCAAGACATACATCAGCAAACGTACCTTGATAGTATGTACTTTAGCGGGAAGGGGTTTGGCAAGTTTTCTATGTTGGTGTATACTGTCGAGAAATTAGCAGAGGATCCCTCTCTGGCGGAAAATGCATTTCGACTACTAAAGGAAGCTTTCGCAAAGTTTGTTCGTAACGAGCAGAGATGGCCGCTGGTATATGATACCGTTTGGAAGGGGATTGTCTCTTCTGGGTCTTACGTGACCCACGATCCAGGGCTTGATTTTGGAAATACTTATTACAACGACCATCACTTCCACTATGGCTATTTTATCCTTTCTGCAGCCATCATGGGGACTCTTGATCCAACATGGCTAGCTGGGAATAAAGATTGGGTTAATGTCCTCGTCCGCGATGTTAGCTCTCCAGTAACCGACGACCCATATTTTCCGTGTTTCCGGTCATTTGACTGGTATAACGGCCATTCCTGGGCGAAAGGCTTATTTGAGTCTTATGACGGCAAAGATGAAGAATCTTCGTCAGAGGATGCTCTGTTCGCCTACGCCCTCAAACTGTGGGGCAAGGCCATCGGGGATGCAAGTATGGAAGCTCGTGGCAATCTGATGCTAGCCGTCCTTGCAAGATCACTACACGCCTACTTCTTGCTGAGGTCTGACAACGTCAACCACCCAGCTAATTTCATCGCCAATAAAGTCACAGGAATTGTCAGTATAACAACCCAAACCAATTTACCATAATAATCTTCATATTTAAGATCTAACAGGCCACAGCTTTTTGAGAACAAGGTTGATCATACGACTTATTTCGGCGCAAACCTCGAATACATCCAAGGGTGAGTATGATGATAGCATATACCCCCGCTCCATATGTTTATATTACGATGTTTATACTATTTAGGATCCATATGATTCCCTTAACTGCGTCTTCGTCCTCCACCCGCGACCCGCTTTTCGTGAAAGAGGAATGGGAGGCCATGTTTGCGGAAACTGCCTGCACACCCGCGAGTAAAGTTCAAGGTGGTTGGCAAGGCATTTTATTTGCTAATTTGGCACTCATTGATCCATTTGCCTCGTGGGAATTTTTTTCTCGCGATCCCTTTAATTATTCGAAACTTGATGGGGGAGCTACTCGAACATGGTATCTTGCACTTGCCGCAGGTAGGATTTAACCGTAGTGTTCCTCTTGAATGAATTGCCTTGCTGCTCACTAACACCGAAATCTAGGCTTGGGAGGCGGTCCACGTCTATAAGCTAATATGCAGATTTGAGTCGGGATTACCTTTCTTTGCAGTGGGTAGTCCATTATGGCAGGGTATCCCCTAACCAGATTTTTTTAACGGTGACTGAGATATAAATATATATATACACATGTGCGAGCATATTTATCATCCCATACTAAACACACTGTGCCTGTTCGCTATAAATTTCTCTCATTGCTGTGTTTTTTTTTTTTTTTTTTTTTTTTTTTTTTTTTTTTTTCCCGATTTGAAAGGCCGGAACAATGCATATAGTATATATATAGATGGATCAAGCAGTTAGCTATGTAGTATAACAATCGCTAGAGACTTCTTAGTACATGTATGAAGATGTTTATGATGTTATTTGTTGTTATTTCTTAGTCTCCAAAGGGGAGAGTCTTCAAAGTTATACAAATATGTTTATACATATATAAACAGAGTATGCAACACGGTGGCTAAGGTAACTCCGCTTTGGAACACGAGAAATCACATTCTTGTACCCATTCTTGGAATCTTTGACTGGAATTGATATTTTTTATTATAATTCAGTTATGGATATTATAATTATTGTTGAATTGTTGACCATGTCATACCCCATTGTTGATTTGTAAAGCCCTTCCATTAAGCCGATATCAAATTTAACAAAAACAGGTCGAGATTCTTCTTCTTCTTCTTCTTCTTCTTCTTCTTCTTCTTCTTTTTACCTCTTCACGTAAATTTTATGTTCCTTGTTGGCTTTATTCATGCTAGTAAATGTACCACATTTGCTGCACTGTAACTAAATGATGTGATGATGTCATACTGTGAAGATCGTAGATAATCATAGATCAACAAGTCCACGCAGCATATTTCTTTTAATATTTTACTTCAATTGATCATAGATCTGATCTCTCTCTCTCTTTCCCCCCAATGTAACAAATCACAGTAACTGCAGATCATAAAGTTTTATATTTACATATACAACTTGTTTTTTTGTTGTTAATGTGCGTGTCTATATATACCAGTAACTAACTAGCAATAATAGTAATATATTTTATACTTGTTTTCCTTGCGGATTTTCACACCAGCTCTGTAGATTGCATGGAACATCTTCCTTGATTCCTACGGCCCTCCACTGCAGAAATTGCCTCGCGTAAATGCCTCCGATCTACTCCGATCTACATACATTGTTCTTCGGGGTTTGAGAGACCGGAAAGAGTAATGCGGCAGCGGAGTTCTCAAGGGTTTCCGCTCGTAGAACAGTATCTTGAAAGTTGCGGCTTGAATGATGCGTTGATATTTTCAACAATACTATAACTAGTACTCCGTAGTTATGTATGTCTTTTTTCAGGTGTTTTGTTTGGGATGGGGAAAGTTGGAATTTTGTATTTTTTTTTTTTTTTTTTTTTTTTTTTTTTTGTTGGAGGGGGATTGGATTGGGTGATTTTCGAACCCCCTCTATGCCACCACGGCGCTTGGTGGTGATCGAGCTCTTTTGCCCTAGTGGGGCTAATATTTCTTTCGTTTGAAGTTGGTATCAGGCGTTTAAGCAGCACAACTAAGTAAGTCACACGGATTTCGACCAGAAGGAATCATGGAAAGTATAAGGAGTTAGTAGAAGGAAATCTTAGCTGCATTAATAATATTTGCGTTCACTCTATAAAAATATTATAGATTAAAGCAGAAGATTTTTTTTTTTTTTTTTTTTTTTTTTTTTTTTTTTAAAAAAAAAAAAAAAAGGGAATGGTTTATGGAAATATCAAAACTGATGAGGAATTCTCATTGCAATAGAGTAAACTAGCAGCTCCACACGTATCTGAGCAGCGAAGAATAAAAAGGGAAGGATCCGGCAACCATCTCATCCCAAATATCCTCCCCATGCAAGCTATTAGAAACAAAAGTGACAATGAAATGCCTTAGGCACCAATCAGAAATTTGACAATAGTATCCAATCCAGCAACCTCTATTACCCTTCCACCTCTTTGCTCCCAACTCTTCCCAAAAACTAACAAGAAACGAAAGGAAAAAACAAAGAAGGTAAGGAGCGACAGTAGGAAACATCTAGGCTACTCCCCGCCATTAAGCCCTCACCATTTCTTTTTCAAAAATTGTAGCTCGGTCATACAAAACAAACAATTGTCGCGCGCGTAGTGGAATGTGGAAAGGCGAGAGTAACCGATGACAAGCAAAAGGCCTAGCTAAATCTGCACCCCCACACTTTGTGCTGTTTCCCCACTTCCCCGAAGATCAGAAAAAAGAATAGACACCGTTCGATCGCGTATCACTTGAATCCCGGGAGGATGAGAGCAACTTGTAAGACACTAGCTGCGACCACTGTGTGGTTACATTTACAGGCCGACGAAGGTAACTGGCTGCTGGAGGGTAGCAGAGCAGGTTTGAGTCTATTGAGTGAAGATTGGGATTTTTTATATTAGCATTTATTTACGATTTAGGTTTGCGAACTTGGACTAGTGGGAAAATATTTGGTTGCCCCTTATGTTCAAATCTTAGGATTGGGTTAACACTTACTCCCTCGTTGTTGTTGCAGCAGACGATCTGGGTGTTGCAGCTGACGGAGCTGCCGGTCATAGCAGTGCAGGTAGTTCCGAGAGTGCTTTCAGGAGCACAGCAGAAGGGGCCGCCAGAAGAGCAGGAGATGCTCTGGAAGACTGGGCCGTCAGGGCGGTGTGGGCGCGCGGGGCGGGCAGGACGGCCGGCAGCAACGCTGGTGGCGAGGAGAGCGACAATGGCGACGATGTTGGTGAGCTGCATTTTGAAGGTTTTTGGGGGTTGATTAAGAATTCAAGTTCTTAAAAGTGAATAAGAAGATTAGATAGAGATTGGGAATTAAGGCTGAGAGATTGTTCTGTGATGCTGATGATGAGGGGGAAAATAAAAGGTATTTCGACGGGAATGAAGGGCCTATTTATGTGTTTTCTCAAGGCTCACTCGATGTCCATGGATGAAGTGTTTTACGTTCTAGGTTGGCTCAAATCTCACCCTTGCAAACTCCCTTTTCACGACTTTTCCAGTGGAGGGAGTCTCGCTTCGCCGAATTGAAGAAACAAGCCCTGGCGCATCTGGGATACCAAACAGCGAATGTCTCGCGTGTTGCAGCTTCGTGGCTGACGGGCTGGTGGATAGAGATAAGCCAGAAATCATAGATCTCAGCTTCTGTTCACCCTGCTGAATGTTCTGACCCCTTTTCTTCTGCATGAATGTGGTAACACTTGACCACTCCCATGAGTCGATGGCGTTAAGGTTGTGCAGAATAATGGTGTCTATAATTAACATCTAGCTGGAGTGTGACCCGGGCATTTTGATATGGATCGTATCAACTTCACGCAAATTCCCAGAGAAAACAGCCAAGTGACAAAATGGCGTTGAGTCCAGACCATACACAAACCTGCATTTCCAGTATGGCCAATCCATCCTTGTTTGCATGTAGATACAAAGGGTGGTGAGGTTTGGTCAACCGTGGCATACAGACAAAACAGACCCAGCCCCGTGGGAATCGACAGGGCTGAGGATTGGAAAATCTAAAATTGTTTTGCTGACAAGTGCCGTGGGCCAATCAACTATACAGGGGCCGTGAAGGTTCGGAGTGAAGGTTTTGAGCCTCAGCTCAAGAAATGGCATCCCATGAGCTGTACCTTTGGCGTGGCAGGATACTCGCCTAACATTCACGAATCAGAGACAAGGCTGCAACACCTTGCGATGGAAACTAGGATAAAGGGAGATCAAGATATCCGAAAGCGGATAGGTAAATCATGGCCTTGAACCTGGCAGCTGCAGGCACTGTGTACGATGGAAGCCGATTCGACAAATTTCCAGGAGAATTGCAAGCCATCTAACAACACATGAAGCTCTGGGCTCTCTGAATCCACATGTCAACGCCATAGATATGTTTGTTGGAACATAGTGAGTACCCAATATGAGAGAGTACCCTTGGTAGCAAGCTCGGGCGCAGAGAACCATACTTCAATCTCCGAACAGCGCACAGGAATCTTCCAAAATATTTTTCCTATGAGGCCACCCTCACAATATCCTCGACCATAAAGCAGTCATGAAAATAACCGCCTAAAATGCGTAGATGTTTCATCGAGGGCGTAGGTTTACTAAGTCAAGGCATCTTTTGCACGGGCAACCGAGCATTGTCGTGTCAATAAGAATGTGCGCTATGTTTTTGGTGAGGCTCAGCGGAAGCCAATCAGCAACCGGCGCGGCCATCCGGTTCCCCAAACAAGCCCATCATCGGTCCAGACCCTGATGCTTTTTGCCTCTGAGTCGAATATTTTGACCAAAGCGGCAGTGCGATGCAGTGAGACACATTAAAACTTCAAGGATTCCCGATTTCGATTGGCAAGCCAGGAACAGGATACTTAGGCGAGGTACATGAAGGCAACGCCCGTTGTCCTCCCGTGGGCTAAAAGATTCCGGGGTTGACGCATCACAAAATGGCAGGAATGGCGGGATGACGGTGAACAGCATATCCGAGAACATCTGGCCCGTATGCACCGACCAGTTGGGTGAAAATGATGATGACTTGGGATTAGTCCAGACCTGCAATCGCAAACAAATAAGAAAAACAGCAAGAATGGAAAAAAGCCATTTTTCAGCCCCAGAAGAAATTTAAATGCAGTTGCAAAACAAACAGAACTTCTGATTAGTCCGGCCAATTCTCACGTGGCCCAACCAGGCTGGACAATCGTGGGATATTCGTGTTGATGGTCCCCACACACAGATACCCAATATCGCCTATTTGCTGAAGTCCATTGAGGTTCCAGAGCGCTTTTACTTCCTTTTTATTATTTTCTTTTTGCTTTGGGGGTTGGGGTGGTGGCTTTTGCGTACCAATGGAAGATATCCTGATGTCTCAAAAAAGATGGCACAAGCCTAAAAACATGTGCAGCGAATGACCTCTTGCAGCTTCAGTCCTATTTTTGGATTTTCAAAGACGCAAGGCCGTGCTTGTGCCAGCTCATTACCGTGTCGATGGCTGTCTCTGGTTGAGAGAAAAGCAAGCAAAATGTACGGCGTAATGAGAAGATTATAGGGAGAGTTTGGTACAAATTGAGCCCACTTGCCGTCAAATAACATTTCCCAATCCGTCCTCATCTTCCCAGCCAAAACACAGCACCCTCTCACCTCTTCAAACCTGCCTTCATTCGTTTGCTTTCACTCGTTGGAAAATTACCCCATCGCTACCATGAAGTTCATCAAATCCTCCATCCTCTTCTCTCTCTTGATGCTGCTCACGCAGTCAATTGCTATCCCCATGCCTGATCCGGTTCCCGCTCCCGAAGATGGCGACGTTGCTTTAGCTGAGAGAGGATTCCTCAGCAACCTGCCGGGGTTGAAGGACCTTTGTCCACCAGCTTCTTCCCAACCCGCCCCCGTCCAGCAAACGAACCAGTGCTCCAGCGGTGTTCCATACTGCTGCAGCACTGAAGGAGGATGTAAGTAAATTCAACTGTAAAATCCTCAAGCGACAACATTTGCTAACCAGTTCGATCTCGCCTAGCCCACAACTGCGTGAATTCCAAAGTTGAATGCAAACAAACCGTTATTTGCTGCAACAACAACTTCGGGGTAAGTTATTATACGAATACACCCTCATATCATTTTGTCTTTCATATTTTCGAAACAGTCAGCTGAAACCGAAAAACCACTTTCAGTCCCAAGTGTGCATGGGAGACATCGACTTCAACATGCCGATCAATATCGAGATCAACCTTTAAACAGTTTCCCAGTAGCATATGCACGGGACCAGAGGCCCTTGGCTGTGCGTCAAAGGTCTGAGGAACAGAGGGAATTGCTGAGATTTGGTTCCGGCAGCTCTAAACTGATGTTAATGGGGTTAGTTAATGGCCTCTTCAGTTTGGGACTGAGCCTCTTTCTCAGGCATGGTTGTTGCTGTAGCTTATTGCAAAGATTTATTATTTATTAATTTCGCACCTGATGGATGGATGGCCTCACCAGCACTGAAAGGGTACATTTTCTTCATCCCTGATTTGATCGTTCTCAACGACTTCACTCTTTTGGTTTTCTTCTTTTGGTCAGTTGTAGAAGACTCATCCTTTTGCTTCTTCCACCCCCCAACCAGCTTCTCCCACTTCTGCCTCTTCTGTCTCATCTGTCAGTTATCCTGTCAATTTTTAATAGATAAATGAGAAACATTTTTTTGCTCCCGGATTTTTCTTCTGGTGTTATTCTTATTTGTTCATATAGTTCTTGGCTAGTCCGATGGAAAATGCCATTTTCTGATCTTTCGCTGCATACCTGTAAAAACTTGAAGCTGTTTCACAGCTTAGGATTCCTCGAACTGCGATATCCGAGTTGTATTCATCCAGCGCCTAAAATATGTCTTCTGCGCATGTTGCAGAGAAAGCCTGGATATTGAAATCGAATCTCAAGTAAAAGAATCGCCAGGCGAAAATGCCCAAAACGGCATATATTCTGTCCAGATGGAGGCGGCTCCTGTCCATCTGCTTCGCGCGCAGGTTGTCTTCACTTTTCCAAATTCTTTGCATCTCAATCCACATCTTGAAGCAAAAGAGGGAAATTATTCAAGGGGGATGCCGTCGAGGATTGCTTATTAAGCCATTGAGTTGCAGATAGTGTGATTAGGAAAGAAACTTCCAAGGTTGCGAGATCTGTAGGAGGATAACGTTCGTTCATTATTACTAAACTAACTACGCGAGAGCAATACAATATGTTGGGGGGCACGTGATAGGGTAGCCGTAGTACCCCCTAAAACCCCCCCGTGCTACGGCGCCGCCAATGCACTGCCGCCCGGGGGCCCCCTTTGCTCAATTCTTCCAAAAACACAATAACAATTAATTACAAGATTTGGACCCTGATTTCCTCTTTGGGAATAGGTGCCCATACAGCAATAACTATAAAAAACAGAATAATACAAGCAAAATTCCGTAATCTCCCGTACCACTGATACCATTCTTTTCCTTCCAACAAGGTCGTTCCATATGACTTATCATCAAACCAGGCCAAGTTGTATTTGAAAATTCACCCTCCACGGGCATATCCATGTTCTTTGTGGTAGGGACTGCCCCATCTACCACCCATCCTTTCCCATAGATCACTCTTCGCACAATCATATTGATAGATAAAGGGTGCCCATCGCCCCCCCAAACCACATCACGGTCGCTATCAGTATCAAGATCATCATCGCCTGTGGGATCATCATCACTTGTAGGATCGTCATCGCTTGTAGGATTGTTATCGCTTGTAGGATTGTTATCACTTGTAGGATTGTCCTCCATTGATCCATCCAAACATTCCATCTTGGAATCCATATCAATATCCACACTGCTGTAGCCGCTATCATCACTGGTATCGCTGATATCATCACCAACATCATCGTTGGCATCGTTGGCATTGCTGGCAGTGTTGGCATTGCTGGCAGGCCGCCCAGCAAAGATATCTTCTATAGCTGTCCACAGAGCATAGGCAGATAGTTCCTTGGGTGTAACAAGATAAGATCTTGCTTGCAGAGTGATTGCAAACCACATGTAGTTATACAGCCACATATTGCATTCTTTCCAAAACCGTTGCATATCAGCACTGGCATCCTCTTTGGGTCCAAGTTGTCTCTCATCTATGATATCAATTGTATGAGATTGCCTCGCTGCGAGGAGGATCTCTTCCCTCCACACTGAATAATTCACAAAACCAGTGAGGATAACTGGCTCCCTTATGAATCTCACTTGGTCACGGAATTCATTAAGAATCTTCACAATAGCAGACGTTCTGCCTTTTCTCTGCAGATAGTTTGCTAAATCTGCATTAATGTTCTCATCACTAGCAGAGGGTTCACCTCTACTTGCTTTCATCTGTTGGACTTCATGCTGGAGTCTCGCGATCTCCAATCTCATGCGAGTTTCCTCACTCACATCATCACGGCTACTAGAGCCACCCGCGTTATCCGACATCTCATTGTTGTCAATTGGGTCTTCGTATTCGATATTCGACTTGTTCGATTCTTCTTCGATTGTCTCGTCAGGTTCAAAAGCCCCTGGGGCAATCACCTTTCTGTTGGTTGCAGGTGTTGGTAGACCTGCGTCCAGTCCTTCTTGTTGTGCCTCCGGTGTTTGAGGACTTCTTCTACGCGTCGTCACGTAGTCCTTCGTTAAATCAGGCGTTCCACCCGATCTCAGATTAACCATTAGTTTCAAATCACTTAACAGCCGTCTAGGCACGCTTTTAACGATGCGTGGAGACGTAGTTAGCACGTTATTTCGCAGCTCTTTCGTAGCTTATAAGGGCCATAACCTGTAGGAGGATAACGTTCGTTCATTATTACTAAACTAACTACGCGAGAGCAATACAAATATGTTGGGGGGCACGTGATAGGGTAGCCGTAGTACCAACAAGATCCCCTGGCACGTGCACATGGTTCGGATTTTCGGCTGGAAAAACTTTCGGTTGTTGGTTCTTTTCAAACATAAAAAAAACATATCTAAATATCAGAACGGGTAGATGGTTAACTACTAGTACTCACAATGCAGTTACTTAAAATCATGTTTCTCGGGCTCTAACACCCTAACTAATGACTGTTGTCGGTTTGTTGTAGATGGGCTGGGTTAAAAGTTGGGCCGACTTTTCAAATGTTATCTAGATAAGCCTCTCTTTCAGTGAGGGAAAATATATCAAAGCTCATGAATACTACATGGCAGTGACTGACATCCAGGGCGTTTGATTTTCGGGCCTGTTTTCCTTCTTACCTCAAAATTGAAACCATTTCGGCTCCGATATTGATGTTTCGATCTGCGCACAGAGACGTGAAACAATCCTCTTCGCAAATCACTAGAGAGATATATATGCATCAAATCCACGAGTGCTTTCGTAGAAAGTATGTACGCCATATTTATGCAGCCTTAAAAGAGATATCTCAATAAATATATAACTTCGATATAAGGCATTTCATGTCTTTACTAAATACGCCAAAATACACTCTGAAGATAGCAAGTGATTGTAGAGACTATGTTGTGAATTGCTACCTATATTCCCCGCCAGCGCCATGTCCAACAGAACTAATGGTTCAAAAATCCTGGAGTATTGGCTACATAGTATCTACCGGTACATTGAACTTAATCTCAAGAAATATCATCTCCTCTTCCTCCTAGTTTTTCCGGCCCGCGAAACCCTTTAACCAATAATAAACCAAAATAACACTACAGATTTGTAGATAGGTTGGGGTTTAAATTTTTGACAATGAATTTTGAGCAGGGATACATTTTAAACGTGGGTTTAGAAAAGTTGAATGTGGTTTTTAAATTTCTAACCTCGCAAAGTAATTAAAATCCTGATTGAAGGCATAAGCACTGGCATCTTATCTTAATTCATTCGTTCGTTCATTTTTTGTCTGGTAGATAAGCATCAGTGTGCAGATTCCGTTGCGTCGTGCTTCTGATTCCAAGATTCATTGGTAGATTAGTGAGATTGCTTCTCCGTAGCTCTTGAAAACAGCTTATTTTGGTTCCCTCCGATATGATAAAAACTCAATGCAATGTAATCAGAGGCCAAGTAGAATGCCTCTCCGTCTTTTGCTAACGGGATGGAGGCAACTAGGTTAAAATTTCCACTCATATTGTAATGGAATCAGGGCTGTGCGCGTTTGGCGGCCGCGAGAACAGGAGCAGCAGAACCACACAATGGAGAACCACAAGATCAACGTGTATTATATCTAACAATCTATCTCGAATAACATGAGGAAAAACTTGTAGGAGAATCAACTAGGAGAAAAGGGACCGGTAGTAGTAACAAGACATAAGGAATCGCATACATGAAGAATCCTCGCATACGTGTAAAAGGGAAAGATATTTCTAGCGGGCGGAGGCGGATATATGCAGGGTAATAAATGCCCGGTGAAAATTTCACCCGCGCTGGATCCCCATTACAATAATATACATGGGGAATGGGAAGGCTATTTTTTCCTGTTCCTTTCTTTCAGGACTGTTAGCCTTCCCACACTGTGCTCACTTGCCTCTAAATTATGAAGTGATCTATTTCAACATGCTGAAAGCCACTGTTGTTGCTACTTGCCCTCATCAGCATTGCTACTAGCCCCTTACTGCAAACAAGAAAAAGACTAGATGGATTGCATGTTATCTGAGACACTGATAAGTCATGGTTTTCCTGAAATCGAGGAGAGCTCAGCAGGCAAACACTGATCAAATTGAAATCCAGCACCATGATCCAGGTTATATTGGGTGTGGTGTAGATGTTTTGAGTATTATTCATACTGGGCTTGGACTGCAAGTGGCCTGCTTCTCTTCTTTGAGCTCAGTTCTGACGGCCGACATAGCAGGTACCAAATTAGCTTAGATGAAAGGAATGATTGTTGCAAACAAAACATACATATGTTTTGAAACTCCTTTAAAAAGTAAAGTAACTCTGTACGTACTTGCGGGAAAGCATATCAAGATTTTCAATGACATAATTCCAATAGGTCTTCAACCACTCCTTCTTGACTTTAGCCCCTCGAAGATTTGGAAATTGATGAAAGCTGAAACCATGCATAATGTACTGTACGGTAGCATGCAACCGACGGACCGTTTGACCATAACAATTATTCCGAGCCTTGGTGCTTGCTATTTGGTATAGGCATTATAGAAACCGCCTATTTGACTTGGCTGCTTTGAAAGTTATGAAAAGTATTGGAGTTCCCCCTGCTTCGCCCTCCAACCAACTGGCTTCTTTCTGCAGTCAGGAACAAAAA